CGGCTCAGAGCGGCGCGTGGAGGACGAGCGGCCGCGCGTGGCCGGGAGCGCCCGGTGGGCTCCGGAGCTCGCTGGCCCTGCTCAGAGGAAGACGGCCGTGAGCTCTGCTGCCGATCTAGACAGTTTGTGAGCTCACGTGCACAGGCGCGAATATTGTGGAAATTTAAAATACCAGTCATGTCGTGCAAAATATAAAGTCCAAGTAAGGAGCCGAATGCTCCACCCAGCGGTTCTGAAGGTCCCTGCGGGCGCGCTAGGTGCCCGCGGCCTACGGGCTTCACAGTCACGTCGGCCCGGCGTCCACGCGCGGAGACTCCTATTCCAACACCATCAACCTGCGCTCCTGGCCGGTGCCCGCTAATGACCCAGAGCCACCCAGAGAGAGGAGGGACGCGTCTTCGTCCCTGGGCCATTTCAGGGCCACAGGCTTCTTGAGTCTCTGTCGCCTCCCGCCGTCCAGGCGCTGGCCGGCCGACCCCTCGCTGCACCGGGCGCGAGCACCGCGTCGCCCCTGCCCCTGCCCCCAGGCCTCCTGCGGCGCCACCCTGTCCAGTGACGTCCAGGGAGATGACTATGCCTCCTTCCGCAAGCCGCAGCTGCGGATGAATTCCCTCTCACCTCTCTGGCTGACCCTTGAACTGGGTGCGGACTGAGCAGAGCCTCCAGGAGGCCAGGATGAAAATACAGCCAGAGGCTAAGGGCTGCACGTACTCAGCAGAGATTTCAGGAGCTGCCATCCCAAAGGAGACAGGAAAACACTGGAAACTGCATAACTACTCAAAAATAGGAGATCTGATACAGAAATTATTACGTAGCCATAAGGCACAACACAGTGAAGTCATCTGAGTAATGTTTTAGAGTAATATTTAATGAATATAGAAATATTCACATTTTAAGTAAACACTCGAGTAAATTTAAAAATATACACCGTATGATTTCAATTTTGCATTTAAAAATACCAGAGATAAACATACAGCAAAATATTAATAAGTATTTCCTGGATGGTAAAAATATGGCTGCCTTTTCTTCTTCGTGACATGTTTATTTTCCATATTTTCTACAAGAACTACATGAAACCGGACACAGTGGGTCCAGGCTGCCTGTCACCACTTGAGCCAATTAAGCAGAGAGGGGTTGAATCCCGCGGCGCTCACTGCGATCCTGCGGGCAGCGCGGGAGAGCAGCAGTCGCCCTGCAAGTGCTGCTCTGCCCCCTCCTGCCAGCCCGCGGGCTGCGGGGGAAGGAAGGGCTGCGGGCAGGGGGAGGCGCGGGGCGGCTGCAGGGTCTGTGGTCCGAGTGTCTCCTTCCAGGATCCTGAAGTCCGATAACTAGGTAGTTAATTGTCAGTGGTGTTTTATTAAAACCCAGCTCTGCCAGTTCCTGGGACCTGAGAATGGTCACCATTCCTGAGGCAAACTCCCAGAGCTGGTCAGGGTCCTGGCACAGCAACCAAATCAAAGCACATCCTGTCCTTGGCCTGTTCTCAAAATGCATTTTCTTTTCTGAGCAAGGGACCCATCCAGCCCCAAGGTGTCTTTTATCTTTCTGCAGCTCTGTTTTTCCTCTCGGAGCACGTCCTCCAGTTTCCCAGGGCCTGTAGGACAACCTCGCGTCTGTCGTTAGCGAGGCGAATCATCACCAGACAACCGCGGTCCTTTCCTGTTAGGTGCCCTCCCGCCTCCCACCATCACCGTCCACAGAGCGTGATCCACAGCTCTGCCCCCAACATATATATTACTATTATATCCAGGAAAAACATTACATTTTTTAATATGAGCCAGGTGCCGGTGCAGGGATTACTGCAGAGGACTTACTCCCACGAAGGCTCTCGAAACCTGTGGAATTGGCCCTGTTCCCTCGCAGACCAGAAGCCGAGGGAATTAAAGGACTTTAGTATAAGCAGACCGTTGGTTGGTGGTAAAAGCAGGTCCCTGTCAGACCAGGGCTCATTTCTCTGGACTGTCCGGTGCAGATCTAAAGCTTTGCTTCTTCCCGTCACCGAAGTGGGGAGGCGTTTCCCAGCTGGCGCGCCTTCGCGCAGGCGGCGGACTTGAGGACGCGGTGGCGCCGCGGCGCAGGGAAGCGCGCGGGTGGTCGGGGAGAGATGAACGAGGGGGAAAGGCGGAAATTCCGAGCGTGGGGCTGGGGCAGAGCCGCGGCCCTGGGGTCCTCCTCCGCTGCGCAGGCGGGTGTGGGGGCTCGGTGGGCGGGGGGACAGCACGCGGCGAGAAGGCGCCCCCGGCGGCGGGTCCGGGGAGCTGCGCCGCGGGAGTAAGGACGCGACGCGTTTCACGCAGCACCAGGGTCAGGCCGCACCCGCCAGAGCTGTTGCCCATCGCCTCGAAATTCTCACGCGAGAAAGGTACCCTTAGAGAAAATCTAGTTATGTAAGAGTAATTTTTGTTTCAGCGAAGGGAGGACTCAGGAAAGGACGGGCAGGCCCGGCCGGGCGTGGCTCAGCGGGTGAGCGGCGACCCAGGACCCAGGAGCCCGCGGTTCGATCCCCGGTCAGGGCACCCGCCCGGGCGGCGGGCCCCATCCCCAGCAGGGCCGTGCAGGAGGCAGCTGATCAATGACTCTCTCATCATTGATGTTTCTATCTCTCTCTCCCTCTCCCTTCCTCTCTCTGAAATCGATAAAGGCATATACCTTTTTAAAAAGGTGCATGAATCTTTTTTTTAAGAAAAAAAAAAGGGAGGGAAAAAGGACATCCTTTGCCTCCTCGTCGGGGAACCGAACCCGCGTGTCAGGCGGGAATGTTCTGCAACGTTGTGTGAAAACCATTGCTTAGTAAACTACTTAGTAAGAGCTGTTTATTCTGTGACAGATACAGGTTGCTAGCAAAGTTGCAACTTTGCTGTCTAGACCGGCGCGTGACTACTAAAACGTAATGGGAGTCCTGTAGAAATTTATACTTCCCAATAGCCATTTTCAAAAGTAAGAAGAAATAGGTGATAATTTTCATAATTTACCTTATGTAACCCAATATATGAAAATATTTCAACATGTAACTAACATGAACATATTAATTATATTTCTTCGTACTTAGTGTTCACACAGCTGTGTATGCTACTTACACACAACACGGTTTAGCTGGACGTTACATTTTCATCGGAAAAATTTGGCCAGTACTTAGATTTCATAAACTTGACCATGGAAGTAGAGGGCTCATTCCCAAGTTGTTTCTAAAGTGCTGAAACATCCCCAGTAGCTGAACTGAGGGAGTGTTTAAGATTTTCCATTTATTTAATTCAATTAATAAACTGCACTTCCTCTGACGCTGGGCTACAGCCTCTAGGAACTCTGTTTACAAAAAAGGCAGGAGAAACCTCTGGAATCCAGCGGCCCCTTGTGGTAGCAAAGAGAGAAAAAGCCTCTGCGTTGGCCGGGAATCGAACCCGGGTCAACTGCTTGGAAGGCAGCTATGCTCACCACTATACCACCAACGCCCGCTGCCGGCGCGCCTCTCCGCTCCCTACCTGAGCCTAGTGCAGCCGGGCGCCTTCCCCGCGTGCCTTCGAGCATCTTGTCGGTGACTCCGAGGCGTCCTCTCAGAACATACCTGCACTCGCTCCTCCTGTCGGGCGATGTGGGGCGGAGGGTGAGGGAGACCGCGGGCGAGGTGCCACCAGGCGTGGCTCGGCCCCTCCAGAGAAGGGGCGCCCGGGAAAATGGGTCTTTTCCGTTTAGGATGGTGAGGCAGGATGAGATAGGGAAAGGGAGGCAGCTTTATTGCCCCTGCTTGGCGAAAGAGTCCAGGGGCAGTTCTAGGTTATTTAACACTATAAATGAACTCCGAGCGGATGTAACCTGCCATCATGAAGATACCTAACCTTAAGCAGCAACAGCGCCTCCGCGGGTCAGGATGGCCGAGCGGTCTAAGGCGCTGCGTTCAGGTCGCAGTCTCCCCTGGAGGCGTGGGTTCGAATCCCACTCCTGACAGACGGGTCTTTACTCTTTTCCTCCCCACATAGAGTTTAATTGCCGAGAAAGGACTGTCGGTCCATCACCACCTTTTCACGCTGCGTGTCCACTGTGAAGGTTGTGCCGCGCTGTGAACGTGGAGCTGAGGTTTCCTTCCTGCAGGTAAGAGACTGGCCTGTCGGGCCAGGGAGCAGTTGGGACAAAGGACCAGCCGTAACTATGAAAATATGTTTTTCCTTTCGACTCCAGCCTCTCCGGGCCTATCTATACCTTTCTTTACGCAACAGCGACGCGCTGAACCTTCTCTAGACGCCGAGCCCGGGGCGGGCCGGCGGCCGCGGCTCCTGACCGAAGGCAGGCCTCGGTTCGCCGGTAGCTGACTGGGCTTCTCAGCGCTCAAGCGGCGGCGTCGAGGCCTCAGGCTCCCCCGGACCCGCTCCCCCCACGGGCTCCACCTCCGCGGGTTGCCGAGTCCCCGAAGCCAGGAAAAGAGCCCGCGGGGCGCGTGGGGCCGGCGGGGCGCGGAGGGGAGCGCAGTTGCTCGTTTCAATTCCTTTCTCTTGACGATCACAAAGGAGACAATTTCTGATTTGGGAGCCGCTAGTTACGGACAAACCTTGC